CTCTCTCTACTCTCTCTCTCTCTCTCTCTCTCTCTCTCTCTCTCTCTCTCTCTCTCTCTCTCTCTCTCTCTCTCTCTCTCTCTCTCTCTCTCTCTCTCTCTCTCTCTCTCTCTCTCTCTCTCTCTCTCTCTCTCTCTCTCTCTCTCTCTCTCTCTCTCTCTCTCTCTCTCTCTCTCTATCTTACACACACATTGGGTAGACGGACCGTATCTACACCAAAGATCTGTGTGGAAGTCAAAGGCAATACTTCAGTCTAGTATATAAAAGGTCAAAAGGTTGATACCGGCATAGACCGTCTCCAGCTGTTCTGCGCATGCCTCCCTGCCCCAGTGTGTGAACACGGCTCCGCCCTGCAGACCACCGTCAAACGGAGGACTAAACTCTTCTATGACGTCAGTTGCGCCACGGCGCTCACGACGCGCATGCGCCGCTTCACCTGCGAGCTAGATTTATCAGAAAGAAGAAATATCTAGATAAAACTTTACATGCAAACTCATGCTGGATGGATAATTGCACTGGAACACACAGATACGATAACATAAAAAAGCCTATAGATCTGTCTGAAGTTTCTACGTGATTATACTGGGGGATTTGTCTTCGGAGGCAGTGGCTGATGAGATGTCACTGTGACACACATTATTTCCAAACTACGTCTTTCAATCAATGAAACACTTAGATATCAGACACGTACTGTTCAAATTATACTGACTCCTTTATTTACCAGTCAATGTAGCAAATGAACTGTTAATTTTCATGTTATAGATTTGTGCTGAAACATGACCCACTTTTGATAACGTTCACACAGCTATATAGTGTACCACAAAAAGTTTTTCTGTCCTACTTTTAAATTCGTATTTGAAAGCAAGCTGTTTCACTTATTCCTTAGAAGTTTCTATAGTTCATTTTTCCACCCGTCTTTTCATGATCAACATACCTTGTTTTCCCGTATGAGTTCCTCTATCTCCTGAAGTTTCGGCTGAAGCGAGTTGACTCTCAGTTGGCACACTATGACCGTGGACGCCACCATTAACAGAACCAGCACAGACGTTGAACTCATAACTCTTCTGATCAAACCACCGTGTCCAGTAGAACATTTCATATGCTCCATTATTCAACTCTCGGCTCTTCACCAGGTCCAGAAATCCCTACCTCTAAAATCCAGCAGTGCTGCTACAGGGAAGTGAGTGTGTTTACCACGTGATTTCTAAGATAGCCTACGCGGTTTTCAGCTGCCAGACTGAGTAAACTGTTTTGTCAGGTCAGAGGGTCGTGGTGATAGAAAGGAAGTGCTTGCGTGCGGCAACACAAGGAAGGAAGATGAACAGGGCAGGCGTCTTATGCCACAGCAAGTCAAATTGAAGGATGACGTCCACGTATGCGCGCATTGATTTACATAAGATGAATTTGAAGAAAAAAGAAATGTCGTGCCCCTCTGGCGATGCCTTAAGTGTAGCTGTAGAAGTGGCACCGGTGCGGTAGCCTTGGGTGAAGCTGTAGTGATTCCAGACTGCCGCACTTATGTCACATTGTGTACTTATTAAATGCAGAACTAAACGTTTTGTTGGCTGTGATGTTTTGTGGTTTTAATTGCTACAGTGTTTACGGTCTTTGTTTCGGAAAAGCTGGGCATATTGTTTTGGAATCTTTTTTGTGCTTTCTTAAATTTGGCCGGTCTGCATTGAGTGTTATCCATAAAATTAATTTGCTGTGGCCTTACGAAAAAGCACAGATTCTGAAATGTCATTGACCTTGGAAAGACTCAAGTCCTAATTGAGCATGTGCTTCAATTAAAAGTATAGAAATCTTACGGAATTGTGCTTCTTTTTCTCCTCCTCCTTTTTATCTTTCAACCCTTATGCAAAAACTTAATGTTTTGCGTTATTCAGCAAGAAAGTCCTCCACTATACAGCTAGGAAACATTCTTGGCTTGGCCAGTTGCCATAATGCCAGAGGTACTTTCCCCAGTTTTTACCCAGACCAGGCCGATGAAAAACATGTCCAGCCTGGTTGTGCTGATAACGACTGTCGCTATCACGTAGTCCACGTGCTGAGGAAGTCAGACAAGCCTCCGGCACAAACATGTCAGATCGAACATGTCCGTACGGTCTTCTTGATTCTTAACATCTGGAAACGTATGAGTACGAGAAACCAGCGAATTCCCTGTTGAAGTATTACTCATAAATTCAGGACAGCTTATATAATTACAGGCAGCCGTCGCCTAAATGTAACGTTATGTGGACGAGGAAGGATTTGAGTTCCTCATCCTCTGTAGACTACACCCACACACACGCAATCTCTTGAACTGGTTATGACAATGGCAGGATGCGGGTTTTTTTCTTAACTCAAGCTGGTGCAATGTTTCTGATCAAGTTACGGAAACACATCGTGACTCGGCCTTCTCAGAAATTGCCCTGTTCAACAAAATTACATTTCCTTCAGGCTGTTCCTCAGTCGCAAAATACGTTTTCGACAGGTTTATGGCCGAGTAAGGAGTACGTCTCTCTTTAACCTAGCTCATCGCACCAGCGCAGCAGTGATATTCAAAACGTGTGAGTCCATTTCTTTCCTAAGGCGGAGACCAAGTCACGAAGCTGAGCATGTTGCCGTACAGTTGCACTGAGAAACCCGGGCGGACAGCTCCAAGAGGCGGTAAGGCGTTGGCCGTCCTCACGGCGCTGCTTTGCGCGGCTTCTATCGGCGTGATCGACCACAAAATGCGGGGATACGAGGCCGGAATACAGGGCTTGAAGGCACAACTGGATGCCAGTAGCGTGAGTTTGTCTTAAGTTTTTGCTGCCTTCGCCAAGTTGAAGATTAACTCGGTGACATTTGTTTGTAACTGCGTTTGAGCAGCGTAACTCTAGAAGTTGTGCTTTATTGATTGTCAATTGATATTTGGTAACCGGTTGGCGACTTAGTCAGGCTGAGGTGTATATAGTTGCGAGACTGCTCATTACATCAACGAGTGGAAACCGTCATTAAATTATGAGGTTTCTGCCCACCTACACTCCCAGCACTAGGTGTTCTTGTGGTAAAGAAAAAGTAGGGGTCCTTTCCGATGTGAGTGGTTCAATCCTTTCAGTCTGGTATCCGAACGGACGTATTGAAAGGAAATTGTTGTCTGTTTAATACGTCAAGCCTTCCACAAATGTGGTAAATCTAAACATATATCTAAATCATTCAAATAGATCAAGGATAAAGAAAACGCATTTCCATGTTTAGTTCTCCGGTTCGTTGCTGCTGTTGCTCGTGAACAGCCGTACGACTCCGCGACGGACCTCCTTCAGACGGAACCCGTAGATCACAGGATTGATAGAAGAGTTCAGGATGACGAAGATCATCGATCTATGCAGCGAACGCACATCCTTGGTAAGGAGAGCCATCCTGGAGAAAAATGGCAGCCACCCTACTAGAAACACGGCGGTGAGGATGACGATGGTGACCGCGGATTTCCTGCTTGTAGTCGGCTGGGCGCCCACAGCGGCTTCTTGGGCAGCGATGGCGTTCACGTGCTTCCAGAGGCACCACAGTATCCCCATGTTGGAGAGGAAAATCGCCGCCATCGGGATGAAAACGAACACTAGGATAACAACCACGTAACCGTAGGACAACCCTCCACCTAACGGCAGGCATGTGTGATCAGATTGCCCTGCACATTCCCAGTCGAAGTAGGGTAGAATCGCCAGAAGAACAGACCACACCCAGACGATCATGATCACGACCTTGCACCTGTCGTTGGTGACGTTGTTGACGTAGGTCATCCCGTAGACGATGAACCAGAAACGCTCAGCGGTCAGGGCCATCAGGCTGTAGGCAGAGGACAGTCCGGAGAGAATGATCGCCGTGAACCGGAGACGTGAGACGATGGGAAAAGACACGGCCCCTGTTACGCTGGAATACAGAACCGTACTACCCGACAAGACGAAGACCACGCCCGCCAGGACGTCGCTGGCTGCCAGATTGGCCATGAGGATGTAGGCAGGGGTGTGGAGCTGTTCTTGCTTGACGATGGCGGCGAGTGGAAGACCGTTTACCACGGCTGACCAGACGCCAAGGCATATAGTAACGCACAACACAAACACAGTTCCAACGGATCCGGACACGTACCGCTTGACGCTGACATTTGACAACTCGTTCCCCACACATCGGTAGGCGTTAGACGTGGCGTTTACTCCCAGTTCAGATGCGTTGGACACAGCAAAGTTGTCACAGACGATCTCGGACGATCCGTTAGGCCATGTTGAATTGCGAAAACCTATATCACTAGTACTGCTATTCGTAAGTGTAACGTTGTAAACATTTCCAGTGGCCGCTCCTATACCAACATACATGTATGGAATCACGATAGTGAAAATTATCATCGTTTTACCGACGTGATACATCATTTTTTACGGGTTTAAAAGATCACCTCACGCGTATGTATTCTTCCAGAGTTGTAAACAGTGAGAAGTGCACCCGTGGAGGAATGATACCACAGTGTACCGGTACGAGATGTTGAGATATTGTCGCCCCCACACAACCTTGTTCTTAATAATATGCACAGCTATGCCTAATCTGAGAACGGCCTACTGGCGTCAGTAACATCCATGTGGAAATGTCAGGTATTACTGTCACCATGGAGGTAATATCCCAGTATCATGTTATGCTATCACCTTGACCATTGCACACAACAACAGCTTAACTTACCTAGACGCTGTGACGTATTCAAAATGGTGATTCCATATAAGAGAGGGCAATGGGAGACAGTTGAGAGGCTAAATTATTACTAGGGTCTATCAGTTTTCTCTTCATTTGTCCTTCATATTATTTGTTTGCTTGCTAACTTGCTTGCTTGTTTTTTTTTCTTTTTGAGTCTTTAAATTTGTGAAACATTCTAGCTTCTACCAGGCTTCAAGATGCGGCAGGAATTCCAAAGAATAGACATTGACCAAATAGAGCGTTAACATGCCGGTCCACTAGAAAAGGACCGTTTTCCGCACCGGAAATAGGCAAGGGTCAGACAAAATAAAACAAAGATGCAGGATACATGACTCAAGTCCTAACTCATCCAATTTCCTTGAGCAGTGAGATCACAGTGAGATTCCTAGATCACATGCTAACTTGTCAAATATATACACGTTAAGAATGCAGCGATGCGGTCACGCCGCGCAGCGGACGATGATGGAATGACACCCTTCCGAGACGAGCCTGTGAGCCGGAGTGTTCAGCACGACTTTCCCGGGCAAGGAGGAGCTCTCTTTACCCGGTGGGGACGGGAGGTGTGCGGGAAGAGTAAGGACATAGACACAGTCTACACAGGTACGTTATGTGCGTGTGCGTGTGCGCTCATGAAGTGTAATTCTTATGCACACAAGTACTTCAACGTAACCATTAAAACTTGCCTTTCTTCAATGCTTTTTACATGATAAGTCTCAGATGTGTATTCTTTCTACCGTGTTAACAAAAGGCGTGGCAGGAGGGTCCCACTACACCAAACATGGCGGCGGCTCCAACTACCTGTGTCTCCCAACTCGCAATGTATCATGGGATCACTTCAAAGATGGCCCACAGGTTCGTAACATGTAACAATACATGTGTATCGATCATCTTCTGTACCATGATTTCTCTCAAAGGATTCAAATAGCAAATTCAAGTATATATTGACATATGATATCCCATGCATTATACATTCAGGACAATTGTGAAAATGCCTACACGGTAGCAATTCCACTAATGATTGAGATGCGGTCTTTTCATCTCCATGCATATTTATAATCCACTTCTGCAGACGAAGAACTTCCTGTACGGCTCAGAGTTCCAAATCCACGGGCAGGACGACTTCTTCTCCACGGTCAATGCTGAGGGGATCGCTACGGTGGCGGACTACGACGTGCCGTGCGCCGTCTGTCGGGCTCAGGTCCGGTCCAGTACCGTCATGATCCCCGCACGGACGGCATGTCCTAACGGTGAGGAATGTTTTTCTGTGTTTTGATTAGCATACTCGCCATCAGGTCAGTAAAAGTAATTTGTATTACACAATACGCTGGCAAATATAGTTTTCATAGAACGTCAGAGAGAGGGGAAGAAAGACCTTCTTTAGGGCACTGCAGTTTCTTCAGTTCTAGCCAGAGGACGCTTACCTGTGACCGTGTGAAGCCTGCCATCTCTGACCGCCTTGCCGTATTTTATTCTTGTGTGATTCTCCATAACAGACTGGCACAAGGAGTACCAGGGTTATCTGATGAGTGCCCACGAGACGCACCAAGGACGCACAGAGTTCGTCTGCGTAGACAAGAACCCGGATGTGGCGATCGGCACCTACGAGAGCAAAGATGGCGCCCTGTTCTATCTGGTGGAAGCCGCGTGTGGCTCTCTGCCGTGTGGTCCTTACATCGCTGGGCGGGAAATCACCTGTGTAGTCTGTACAAAGTAACGCAACTCAGAATGTGGTACATTGGTTGTACTTCATAAGGATTTCTATACCAACGATTCTACTGAATGAATGAAGACCTTTTCTGTACCCAAGTACCCATAGGTTCATAGATACATGTATTGTGCGTGTACATGTATACATTGTCACGTTAGCATGAGTAATATAGTCTTGAATTCAGCTTCTTCTCACTTGTTTCACCACTGTTTAATGACGATTTCTACAAGAAGTAATATGCTTGACTATACGTCGTCGTTTACGGTTTCATTTCCAGTTGAAATTGCATCACGACAGACGATAAGTGGACAACTGGAACTTCCAGGAACTCTTCCGGAAGTAGTTGAAGTGACATATTTTTAGAACAATACGTCCCTAAAAGTAAAAAAAGAGACGAGAACATACATATTTACGTAGAATTATAGCTTGTCCGCGAGGAAGTTTCGTTTCGCGTCTACAGAATTTTTGTATCTATTTGTGTCATGTCCTGACTCGACGTCCTCATACATTTGTATCTAGGCCAGTATATTTTATCGCTCTAGGCCGAGATTGTATTATCGCAGACACAAACTTGGAATGTGTCCAATATTTACTGCACATCCTGATTAACACATCATGACTTCAGTATACATGTGCTACTGTTTACTATAAATCGGTTAGTATAGATATTAGACACACTCTATAGTACTGTTTATCAACTTCCCATACATTTTATCCGTTACAATTGTTGCACAAAAAGTCGATTCTGTGAGATAGATAGTTTAGGACTCCTTTATCATATCTACAAATGCTCTGAAATAAAGCTGTGACCTAGTGCTTAAGTTCATCCATCCAAAGCAAAATAAAAACCACAAAATTATAATTGATAATTGATAATGATGTAATTTGTACAGAATTGACACGTGCTCTACAAATGTGATAATGTATGAAGACATAGTCAATATAACTTTTGAATTCGGCGATAGTTTCCGCCCCACGGGGATTTCTATCGGAATTGCGATAGTTTGCACCCCATTTCCGTCCCGACCTCTGATAGTGTAACTGAAGGTATGCCACGTGCACTGATAGTGATGAGGCAATTTTGAAAGAATAGACACGTACGCGTACTTCCGCAAATGTCATAAAAATAGAAAATATGCTAAAGCATTTGTCACTGTTTTCGAGCACGTTGGAGATTGTAATGGAATGGCTATGAACAGAAACTAAGACAGTGCGACTCTCCACTACAATTATATACTGACGACAAAGTTATAAATGTTGTGCCATTGGTGCATTTTCCAAGGGCACAACACTAGGGTCAGGAAGTCAAACCCAGACCCATAAGATTCTAAGTCCACAAACATTGCCACAAGACCACTTTGCCACCGGAGCAATTTCTAAGAGTGATACTAGCTTTAAAATCAGAATCCCAGTTCCTACCAGCAAGTCCTACCTGTACTGACCGCCCTCTCGTCCTTGACCCCTCAGGGCTTTCCTGAATAAATCACGCTTCTAGCAGCTCTTCCACTGGTCAAGCGAGAGATTGTGTAATACAGCTGCAGGTGAAATACGGCGTTGCTTCTTCCAAGTACATCAAGTCACCTTCCCTTACTTTTAGCGATAAGTTTGTTGGGACTTTTATATCCTTAGGACGGGTTCAGTTTCCGGTTAATACGTTCGACTGGTACGTCCCCTGCTTTGTTGTTGTATGAAAGAAGTTTAATGAATTGAAAAATCTAACACAATTAGACTTTTATCCCGAGGCACGTTCACACGGGAATAACAGAGAATTTGGTACCCCATTATAAGGCCTGACATAGAAACCGGCGTTAGCCACGCACAAATAAACCACAAAAGTCAAAGTCTTAAAATTACGGTTATAGACAAATGGTGCGAGCTATTGACATGTGCATATTCTAATTTCATTCCCTGGCTATCCAGCCTCGGTTCACCGTTTTGTACACATTAACGTTCGGTAATCATAATGAACTGATGATATATTCCGACTGGCACACATTAAAGAGCTGCCAACATCATAAGCTGATCTAGATTGTTCATGTTAGTAATAAAGTCTAATTTGAATCCAATGGCAATCCACAATCATGTATATTCCATAGATATGTTACAATGGCAAGTATATTCTAAAAATCTACTCTGTGCTACTTTTTGTTTTCAAATACTTAGGAAGAGATTTTAGCTTCTTTTACTCGAGTTTCTATATTGGATATGCGTGAAATATTGCGTCGTGGCCTAGTTATAGCCTGTGCATTACACAAGCTCTCTCAGCCGGACGTCAATGACCCCCACCACATGGGGGCGGCAACCTTAGGATGGCGGCCGCCAGGAGCGCGATTTAGTCTAGCCTCCATAGCATGCCAAAAAATGTTGTTTTTTTTGGGGGGGGGGGTCTTCAAGGTCTTTGGGAGCTTTCATGTGCTATTTTCCGATTGCATATTCACAACATAGCCTGATTGAAATACCCCTTATCAGCCAAAGACCATCAAACTCCCACTTCTACGGAGGCTAGATTTAGTCAGGCTATGACCCTAGTGGCTTACCAGGTGTATGTTCCCGGGAAAGTAATTATACCTTCCGCCGAAACCCATACGGCCAGGGCGCGTGAAGCTCACGACTCGGAAATAAAACATTCCTTCATTATTCATTGTATTAAAACCCTTCCTAGAATATCAATGGTCAAAAATGTCTCCGGATTTTCGGTATAAATGGCCAGGAAAAGTCTCCGATCCTCAGACGCAGGGAAGACGGTCAGCGAGGTTGTTCCAGATTTCTACCTTGAGAAGACGACATTTTTTATCCAATATCCAGGTTAGTTCATACTCAGCAACCATATAGAGTTTTAAAAAACTGTCAGTTCAACGTTCAGTGCACAAGACCTTCAAAAGATTTCTTTGACACGAAAAGCAATATCTGTTGTTCCCTCTATGTGAAATATGTGTTCTTCGGGTCATTTTTACTGGTATAGTTACAAATGCTGTAATATCTATTTTTGGATGGTATTCTTTCAAGTTTACTTGCAAATCACGGATTTTTAAAGAAAGTTTTGAAAACTGGCTAGACATGAAAAAAATTTTTTTTTTCCAAAACACAGTTCTACAATATGTCGCCGTCCCGTCTCCTGTCCGTGACCCTCCTTTGTACCGTCCTGTGCGGCCTGACCCTCGGCAACGTGCGACGCCCAGCCGTGGTGGCGTGTCGCTTCTCTCGGTACATCCGCAATGTCCTGTCAACTAACAGCGTTTTACAGGTGAGTGTGTCGTCAATTTTATACTCGTACCTATATACATATCATGGATAATGGCAAGGCCATGCCCTTCACGCACCTACAATACCTTTTTGTAGTATAGCCTGAGTTTATTACCTTCGTCACAAGGTTACATGTATGTGTTTAGGTACACCATATGTAGGGGTTGCTGATGTTGTAATCGGTTATAACTTGGACATGCTATGGTCTTGATTTTTGAGTGGGACACAGATGCTTGGGAAGCAAGTATCTGGTGTGGTTTTAAATAGCAGCTTTTTTTAAGCTGCTATATTTTTTTGAGCTGCGGTCATTTTTATGACGGAATGTGACTAGAAGGGATAACTTTTGATGTTGTGGATGTTATTTTACAGTTTATTGTAGGTAGCTCGTAGTGTGGAAAAAAGAAGGTTCAGTTCGAATTTGGGCATTCTAGTGGCTTTCTAAGGTATTGCAGCATTGCAGCGGCACTTATAGGTTTGAAATTTAGCTTCTAATGTAGACCAAGTGCTTATAAGTTTGGGGAATACTAGAGGTTCCCGGGGATGGGGGGGGGGGCAACAGATGTTTATAAGGTCGTTGACGTCTGTCTCAGGACTTATTACCTCCATGAAAAATGGAGGTATTGTTTTTGGCGTGTCCGTCTGTGTGTCTGTCTGTGTGTGTTTCCGCAACATTGTGGTCAACATAACTTCAGAACGCCTTTATGGATTGTGATGATATTTGGTATGTTGGTAAGTCTTGAAAAGCCAAAGGTCAAGTTCAAATATGGGCCTCCTGGCGGATGACCTTGGTACTGCAGCAGAATTTCCGGGTTTTGTATCTTTTGTCCTGAACATGATATGGTCTTGTTTTATGGTGACAGATAGCTTATTATGTCACGAATAAGTGGTGTAAGTTTGGTCCCCCTAGCAGCTTGACGTCCCGTCCTAAGGGCTGCGACTATTTCCGGTAGCGTGCAAGTCAATGAAACCACCAACATGAAAACTCCACAGCACTCAGTAGTGACGACAATGACAAGAATCGTGACTAAGTCAGAAAATCCGTGTAACAAACTCGTGTAACATGTGTTTCTGTACCACGACTTATGAGTCACACATCCTTTGGTTCACGTACCAGCAAAATAAAAGTCAAACTATATACAGCAGCACATTTCTGACAACCCAAACTCAAACATGACGAAAGTATAAAATCTTCGACCTCTTGTTCATAAATCTTGTCAGTTTTAACCCCAAATCATTTCTTATACTTTATAGCAAACTACCCACTGTGGCGAGGAAAAACTGTCTCCGAGCTTCACAGGAGATTCCAACATCCTCCTGGACAAACCACACAGGGTAAGTAGTTTATGTTATTCACCATCCGCACTGTGACTGCTCGTGCCCGGATCAGTCACAGTCTGTCTTTCACATGTATTGGGGAATCTTAGATATCAACCTCTGGCCGTTTCGAACCCAGATTGCAGTATTACTAACAAATTTAAAGGGCCTTTGGTTAAATGGATTTGATTGCACGTACTAGCTGGCATGTTAACGTTGATATTTATTTCTCAATAGAGTAAAACAATCAGTGTTTTAGATTTTGTGACTTTCTTCCCAGGTCACTCCCATCCAGCGGGCCCGACTCCTTGCCCCGGTGCTGGGCCGGTTCAGGGACACCCTTCTCCGAGTGGCCAACCGACAAAGTCCCGGGGAACTCAGGGAATGTCTGGAGAGTTACCAAGCAGAACAGAGCAGGCTGGCCAGCTCGCTGTCTTCTTTTGTACGATATCTCTCTATTCTTCCATCTTTGGAATCAAATTGCGTTTTTTTATGTCCTCCAAGTAAAGTAATGCGTTGATAAATCGATCAATTGATTAATTGATTGATCAGTTGTATGATTGCTTGCTTCCTTGCTTGATTGATTGATCGATCGATCGATCTATTGATTGATGAATCAACAGGCGTTAATGTAAAAGGGACAATTTCATACACTTCCTGAAGTCCTATAGAACCACATAACAAAATAAAATACTGCTTTCCTAATACGACTTACGTATATATTGTACAAGACAACGACAGCTTTGCCGGTGTTTTTGTGGGTATTTTTGCTATCTCTCCTTGGGTAGTAAAGAACACGTGTGTTGAACTTTATGTTCTTGTTTTTTACCTACAGGTGACAGAGATCAAGGAAAGCATCAGAGCGCATGCACCTCTCTACCTGACCCTTGGGGCGGTTGAAGACAGGGTGACCCAAGCTCTGGCTCACTATGCGGAACGTGGAATATCTCCGGTCAGTACGTACTCTATATTTGGAAAGAAATACAGTTTCACTCCATCAATAGTTGGTGCGCGTGTTGTCTGTGGATAGTCTGTTGTTCATAAAGTCATGGAGCTTATGGTTTCAGTCAAAGTATCGTTTTCTTCATCCTTCCAACACTTTACTTATACCATTGTTACATTTGTCAATAGTTGGAAACAACAGAGGTGGATCCGGCCTACTGGCGACTCGTACTGATAGACATGGACACCGCCATGTTAGAACTGCGTCGCATCGGCCGTCTGTTGGGCTCGACGTGTGAAGACTGAACACAACACAGCTCTACTGGAAATAGCATTTTTATTACCCCCATAACAATGAATGAATGAATGAATGAAGACCTTTATTGTACATTTTTGCCCCACTGGGCTAAGCACAGGTCACATTATACATATTCGAATACACATTCATATAAATATACATATAACTATTACATGTACATGCATATATAAATCTCTAATGTATTCTAGTCTTTTCAACTTCTTCTCGCTTCTTAGTAATTGTATAAATGTAAGATGATGTATGTGTAGTTAGATTCGGTTTGTCAAGAGTTAACAGGAATATAAATTTTTCTCTACTTGTTAAGAATCCAAAGTGGGGAAATTTACTTTTAAGTAAATTTAAAAAAATGTTTAAAATGTTAAATGTTAAAAAAATGTTTTTTAATGTTGAATGTTAAAAAATGTTAAATGTTAAAAAAATGTTTTTTAATGTTTTAAAAAAAACATGTCCGAAGAGTATGCGTCTATCACTGTCATATAAAGGACAATCTATGGTGAAATGTACTTCGTCCTCTACTCTATCTAGACTACAAAATTGGCAGATTCTTTGCTCTAGGGGAGTGTGGTTATGTCTTCCTGCTTCAATTCGCAACTGATTCGTAGTTTTGTGATGGTGGTCTATGGCGTACATTTGCTAACTTAAGATATTCTTCTTCGTTATAAGAATGTTTTAATAGTCTGTATAATCTGAGTTTATTCTTTGCATTTGCAATTCTGTTATCGTTGTGGATTTCGGATAGAAATGTCTGAAAATAGATATCTTTTAGACGCTGATAAATTGACGAAATAATAGGGGACGTGTTTGAGACAATTGACTGGGGATTTTGCCAGACAAAAGCATAACCACATTCCTCTAGAGCTCTGCGTACACCAGACGCCCAACATTTTGCACCTGATGATTCTAAATCTACTTGACATAGAAGAGCGTCTGCCTGTAGCGTGTCCATAAAAATGGAGGCATTGTTTTCGGCGTCTCTCTCGCTACAAGCACGGCAGCATTTGGGTCCTTTCACTTTTGTATAACTCATAGTGCAAGGTCGTGCTCAATACTCTCGTTTGAATGCTGTGACAACTGTACTTGTGTTAAGTACATTCATGTAGATGCCTAAACCCATCTGTTTTAGTACCTAAAATTTAGGTAACATCCGTTGTACATTTAACTACAACGGTCACTTTATCGTTATATCGTAGACTAGTACATGTAATAATACATGTATATGATAAATATTTTATTAAAACCTTTCCAGTTGCTTGAGTAACAGTTTTCATGTGTATCTCATTAACTGGATGTAAAACCTTTATCGACGTATATAAATGACAGGACAGGGACAGGCTTACCACTTGCAAGGTAGGTTGAGCTGCTTGTTTTTCATTATTACTAACTTCAAATACTATCTTTTACTAATACCTGTCCGTATGTCCTAACCGTATGTGTCGTCTTCTTAGTCTTCGGTATAGCCATCCTTCTGCGCAACATACCAGGTTCTGTATTTGCATCTATTGTATCTGTATAGCCGGTATAACAGTTTCTGTATCTGCATCTGTGTATCCGATATAATCGCCGTTTGGCGTAACACCAGCATACGGCGCAGCAGCAGCTGATTATAAATGAATGAATGAATGAATGACGACCTTTATTGCACATTTTTGCCACACTGGGCTAAGTACAGGTCAAAACAAAACATAATGGAGAAATATATACAAAATAAAACTAACTATCATTGCATAAATTCGACTTCTCGCTTTTCAGTTATGGTAGAAATAAATGAACAGATATGTTTATCGATGGAAGGTTTGTCAAGTCGCATCAGGAATATGAATTTTTCTACAGTGCTCAAGTGTATGAAATAAGGAAATAGGTTTTGTACAAGCCTATACAGATCACTTCTCTCTTTACTATATAATCTACATTCTATAACAAAGTGACATTCGTCCTCTATTCTATTCAGATTACAACATTTACATAACCTTTGTTCCAGAGGGGTGCGGGTATGTCTTCCAGTTTCAATTTGTAGTTTGTGACAGCTTATCCTTAATCTTGTGACTGCATTTCTGATTTTCACATTTTCATTACGTAGGTATTTTTCTTCATTGTATGTAGTTTTAAACAGTCTATACGATCTTAATTTATTTCTGGCAGCTCCACCTTTGTTGTCATTGTGCATTTCTTTTAGAAAAGTTTGGAAATATATGTCTTTTAACCGTTGGCCAATAGAATTGACAATTTGGAACGTATTTGTAGTATGTAAAGTTTGAAAATGCCATTATTATATTACACTGATTGGTCGGTCACACCCAACCTTTGAACATATAAATGTAAGCGTCAGTTAAAGCTATATGCATGTATGTATATATAACCAAAAATACCGTATTTTAAGAATCTCATCCCTGCCACCAATGCTCGTATCTTAGTATCAAACGATTTTCTGTACAGCAATAATGATATGCACTGGTTGATTACCATTGGATTCAGGTTAGACTTTATTACTAAGCAGTTCAATCCATACCAATTCATTATGTTCACCAACCTTTATTGTTTATAAGTAGAACATACCAGTTTATTTACCATTCTTCAATGTGTACAATCAATGGTCTACCTAAACTGGACAGCCAAGGAGTATTAAAATGTGTATAAGTTAAAATGTCGAACAAAGTACAAGCATGATTTTTTACGTCCATAGTACAAGCTAACATGTGTGGAGAATATGTTAAGCTATTTTGATTCATGCAAATCACGATTTTATTTGCACACTAAGTAATCAAAACAGAAAGTCTGAAAATCAGTAGAACACCTGGAAACCTTGACATTGAGATTAACAACAGGGGTTTAAAGCAGGTTAAAGAATTCATATACCTCGGCAGTATCTTCACAGAGGATGGTAAACTGGACAGAGAAATAGAGACCAGAGTCCAAAAAGCAAACAGTGTCAGTTACCAACTAGTGCCGCTCCTGAAGCACCCCAGCATCCCCATGGAAACCAAAGCCAAACTCTTCAACTCAATCTTCTTGCCAACCCTTACATATCAGTGCCAGACCTGGACCTTGACTAAACCCTTAGAACGACAAATCATCACGTATGAAATGAGGTGCCTGAGACGACTTGTCACAGTGGCACAGTGCAAAACATCTATTGTTATAATTCGTCAGTAAAGGCTAACAACAGGACCTATCTATGTCCTGGTATTGGTTCTCTAGTCTTCGATGATTGTCGCTCCTCATGCCACAGACATGCATGTTTCTAAAATGATTCAGACTCCGGTAAGTGTGCAATGTTTGGCGTTAGTACAGATTCTGAGACATTTCACCTACTGTCATTCTGTCTGTCAATCTTCTCCCCACCTACATGCTGTCAGCCTACTCTGTCCGGACAATCAGATACACAAATCCACAGGTCAGCCACCCAAAACAATACTTCCGTACCTGGAGGTAATAGATAAATAGATACACTACAACAGATGGGTCTTAGGCAACTACATGAATGGACGTTGTAAAAAAAATTGTTTATCCAGAAGAGCTGTGTTGTGTTCAGTCTTCACACGTCGGGCCCAACAGACGACCGATGCGACGCAGTTCTACCATGGCGGTGTCCATGTCTATCAGTACGAGTCGCCAGTAGGCCGGATCCACCTCTGTGGTTTCCAACTATTGACAAATGTAACGAAGCAAATCAGACACTTCATGTTTAACCCGAACTCATCAATTGAACCCAGAACCTTCAGATTCTAAGCCATCAACCCTAACAACAAGACCACCTTACCACCTACTGTGTCTTTCTTTCAAATATACTGACCGGAGATATTCCACGTTCCGCATAGTCAGCCAGAGCTTGGGTCACCCTGTCTTCAACCGCCCCAAGGGTCAGGTAGAGAGGTGCATGCGCTCTGATGCTTTCCTTGATCTTTGTCACCTGTAGGTCAAAAACAAGAACAAGTTCAACACGTGTTGGAGAGGTAGCAGGGAAAACCGTAGTTGTCTTGTATAATCTTTGCCCATATATAGGAGAACATTTAGTTCGTAGTGTGGTTCGATAGGACTCGGTGTGTCCGGTATTCTACCCTTTACTGCAACGTTCGTTGATTCATCAGTCAACCAACCAACCAACCAACCAACCAACCAGCCAGCCAGCCAACCAACCAACCAACCAACCAATCAACCAACCAACCAACCAACCAACCAACCAACCAACCAACCCACCAACCCACCAACCAATCAATCAATCAATCAATCAATCAATCAATCAATCATTCAATCAATCAATCATTCAATCACCAATCAACCGATAAAACTGAAACATCCCATTACTTTTAGGACATAAAAAACGCAAATTCATTTCAAAGATGGAAGAATGGAGAGATATCGTACAAAAGAAGACAGCGAGCTGGCCAGCCTGCTCTGTTCTGCTTGGTAACTCTCCAGACATTCCCTGAGTTCCCCGGGACTTTGTTGGTTGGCCACTCGGAGAAGGGTGTCCCTGAACCGGCCCAGCACCGGGGCAAGGAGTCGGGCCCGCTGGATGGGAGTGACCTGGGAAGAAACACGAATTCACAATCTTTAGTAGAATTCTCGATGTTTTTTACTATATTCAGAAATAGTATATACATAAGGCATGATCTGTTCCTGTAAGTTGTACCACCTACATGTAGCTTCCTTGTCTGTATAGCGTGTATATACGCGCCCTCCGGCATAATGCACCAGTTTTACTCACATTGTGGTTCATTCGATGGCTATCATAGCCGACCATATTCTTTAACACCGTATACACCGAAAGAAGGCGGGTCGTTAACCCTATATTACATACCCCGCGTGGCTTGCGCAGTAGAATGCTGGAATTTCCGATAAAGCTTCCTGACAGTTTTTGCTCGCCGCAGTGGGTAGTTTGCTACAATGCAAGAAGGGAATTGAGGTTAAAACAGGCAATATAACTAGAGTTCCACAACCTCATAATGTCGCCAAATGACGTTATGACTGACGATTTATAAATGTTTATCATTGCTTATAATACTCGTATGTCAGTTCA